CACAGAGCTGTGTGTGAGAATGTGTTACTGGAGTCCAAACCAGCAGCCACTGATCCCAGTGGAGATGTCCCAGCACTGGGATTGGGATATGGCAGTGAGATCCATAGCAGGGGCAGCTGCAGGAGGGATAAGTCTGCCTGGGATGGGTGCCAGTTCTCCAGAAAAAAGACACCCCAAGGATTTGGGAATAACTCAGTGTCCCTGTGCAGAGCTCAGGAGGGGATGGAGCTGTGCTGAGCTCCTGGGAAGCCTCAGGTGCTTCCTGCAGCTTGGCACAGCCAGACTGGGCAGGAGCTGTGTGCTCTGCACCCTCCCTGGCACAGCCAGCCAGGATGGGCTTGGAACCACCCAAAAACCACCCCAGGATCAGAGAATCACAGACTCATAAAGATTGAAGGAGACCTTTAAGACCATCAACCTGTCACTGCTGTAACCCCTAAACCAGATCCTCCAGCACCAGATCCAGACACATCTTCAACACCTCCAGGGATGGTGACTCCACCACCTCCCTGAACAATATTCCAGTGCCTGACCACTCTTAACAGGGGCAAAAAAAAAAATCTCAGGCCTTCCTGGAGCAACAGGAGCTGCTGACACTGAACCTTGGGGCACAAAGATCTGACTGTGAGCAGGACAACACTTCCCATCCTCCCCACAGGGAGCTTCCCACACCCTGCTGTACCCCCTCCCCTCCCTCCCAGCCCGCTGTGGGAGCAGGTGACAGCCCACCTGCAGTGTTGGTGATGGTGATGGGCACCCCCTGGACCTGCACACCGTTGATGTTGATGGTCTGCATGGCCTGGGCTGCAGCTGCCAGCTGTGCCGTGTTGAGGCTCAGGATGCCCCCAGCCGGGGCAATCTTGGGCAGTGGGCGTTCCTTGCGTGGAGGAGGTTTCCTGCTGCCACTGCCACCCCCTGGGCCAGGGCTGCGGGACACTGGGCTGCTGCAGGATGTCCCTGATGGAGCCACGGGCATGGCTGAGGCCTCCTGGAGCAGCACGGTCTGCAGCTCGCCCGACGGAGTCTTGAAGTAGACCTGAGGGAGGAAAGAAGAGGGAGAGTGGCAATCAGGATGGTTGCCACTCCATCAGGATGGTTTCCCACCACACACAAACCAGCAGGGATGGGTTGGGTCAGGAAAGGTCTTAAAGATCATCCTGATCCACCTTCTGCTGTGGTTCTCCTTTCACCAGCCCACGTTGCTCCAAGCCCTGTCCAACTTGGCCTTGAACACTTCCAGGGATGGAGCAGCCACAGCTTCTCTGGGCAACCTCTGTCAGTGCCTCAGCACCTCACAGCCCCCAAATCTGGGCTTGCAGTGAGCCAAGGAGCAGGAGAAGCTTCCCAGGTATCTCAAGACTCTTTGTGGGCCACCTGGAGAGGGATCCTGGCTTTGGCCCTGCATCCTGGTTTCCAAAGGCAACACTACAGGCTGAGCCTCTCTCCCACGTCCCTCCATCTCCCAGGAGATTCCAAACAAACTGGCTCACCCCAACCTGTGGCACAATAGAGGTTTCAAGGACACTGAGCTCCTCCAACAGCAGGTGGCCAACAAGGGAGACTTCCTAAATCCTTGCAGAAGGAATGGCTGTGCTCCCAACCCTCCTTAGCCACCAGAGAACCCACACTTTGCTGGATGCCAAGCTGGGGATGGTTGGTGGCTCACAAACCCCTGAGAGGTTCAGGGAAGAAAGAGTGAGGAGACACCTCCCAGGAGGTGTTACCTGTGTAGGCGTGGGATCTGCTGTCTGGATCTGGAAATTCTGGGATGATTTCTGCGGGACGGTGGGCAGCGTGGCAGAGGCAGCCTGGACCACACGCAGAGCTTGCTGAGGGATCTGCACCACCTGGGACTCCTGCTTGGGCTGCACCACCTGCACCTGCTGTACCACAGCTGACTGCCCCGTGCCTGGGCTCTGCACGATCAGCAGGTTGTTCCCAGCCTGGATGATGTTCTCCGCTGTGGTCTCGATCAACACTGTCTCCACCTGCTCAGCCATGGCCACGGCAGCAGATTGGGCAGGAGACATGGGTTTCTTCCGAGGCTTTTTGCTGGGTTTGGAGGGGCTGTCTGTGAGCAGCTGGGCCTGTCCCCCCTGCTCAGCTGTGCCCACCAGGTTGTTGACAGGTAAGGTCAACGTCACGTTGCCGCCGCCGGGTAACTTGACCACGTTGCCGGTGCCTTGAGATGGTGATGTTCCTCCCTTCTGTGCCGGGGCTGGTTTGATGGGCACAGGCTTGTGAGAGGAAGAGGAAGGGGTGAGGATGGCTTGGTTGGTGCCTGGGATGATCTGGATCTGGTTGGAGAGGTTGGGCTGCACCTGGATGGTCTGTGGCTGCGACACCGCCTGGTACTGGATGTTGGAGGGGGAGCGAGAGCCCTTGTTGATGACTGTTGGGTTCTGGATGGCAAACACCAGTTGTCCCCCAGGGTAGGAGGTGCCCACCTGGGAGCCTTGGATCTGGAAGAGGTTCCCTTTGGATGAGAGGATCCTGATGCTGTTCTTGCCGGAGCCCAGAGGGAGAGGAGCGGGTTTGATGGGGACCAGTTTGCGCGGCGTCGGTTGAGGAGGGGCAGGAGGAGTCACAGCTTCTTCCACGGCTGGAGGACCAATCTTGCTACACGTGGCTGCGAGGAGGGCGAGGGGAGAGGGTTGGGAGTCCTGGGGAGCCAGGGGACAGGGGACAGTTTAGTTGTGCCACACACCTGGAGGTGGAGTTGGTGAAGGAAAGGCTATGGAGAGCAATGCAGTCTGTGCTAATGACATCTCTTATCACGGGAATAGATTCATTACCCACACCAGGTGTGACTTTGGTGACTCCTCCTCACACTTGGAGCTATCAGGATGGCAACTGGCACTTAATGGTGTCCCTGTGTCCTCACAGCCTCCATACAGCTGCAGATCACACTATCATGAAGGTTGGAAAACACCTCTAAGATCACAGAATATCCTGACTTGGATCCATGAGGACCATCCAGTCCAACTCCTCCTGCCCAGGACACCCCAACAATCCCACCCTGTGCCTGAGATATTGGGAAACACTCCTGGAGCTCTGTCAGGCCTGGGGTTGTGCCCACTGCCCTGGGGAGCTGTTCAGTGCCCAAACACCTCTGGGGGAAGAACTTTGTCCTGATATCCAACCTCACCCTGTCCCAGTGCCCAAACACCTCTGGGGAAAGAACCTTGTCCCAGTATCCAACCTAACCCTGTTCAGAGACCAAACACCTCTGGGGGAAGAACCTTGTCCCAGTATCCACCTAACCCTCCCCTGACACAGCTCCAGCCCTTTCCTTGCTGCTGTCACTGGTCACAGAGAGATCATCAAGTCCAACCCAAACCATGTCCCCAAGTGCCACGTCCACACTGCTTTTACCTCCCTCCTCCCCTGCTGCCCATGGAGAGCCCTGGACTCACCTGGCTGGCAGAGGCAGCAGGCTGCAGGTATTCACTGGGGCTGACAGCAGCAGTTGCAGCCATCCTGTCCCTGGACCTGAGAGGACAGAGCAGACATGGAGTGAACCAACAGCTCCTCATGTGCCAGCCCGAGGTCCCAATCCCAAGGGATTCTCCTGGTCTGTGCCCAGATTGTCCCACCTCACACACACCTTCAGAGAGGGTTCCAGAAGGGCTACACAAACACCTTCATCACATCACCTTCTCCCCATGCTTTGCTTGTCACTACAGGAAACACCAAGGAGCATTCCTAGTGGAGCTTTCCCTCATTTTCCTGCATTCCATACCAGCCTGGACCTGGAGCCACAGGGCAGAGCCCTCCTGGGCTCATAGAACACGCCCCACTTCCAAGCAGAGGCACTTGGAAGTGCCCACCAAGCCAAATCCTTCCCAATTCCAGCCCTTGCAGTCTCCTTGCCACTTGTTTTCCCAACTTTGGGAAGGAAAAAGGAGAGTTTCAGTCAAGATTTGTGGGTTTAGTTTCCTTATAAAGGTTTAAGCCAGGGAAAAAGATTCCTAAATCCTCACAATTTGCTATATGTTTTGCTGTGGATTTGAAGACATTTCATTTTGGACATTTCCTCTGGCAAATTGTCCTCATCCAGCAGCTGCTCCATAACATTTTCCATGAAGAAAGTGCCAGAGAGGACTTGTCTGAGCTTGAACACTCTTTATTCCCAATGTCCTGACTTCAAACTGGGAAGTGGAAGAATTTGGATGCTTTGGGGTCACTTGGGACATCTCAAATGCCAATGGAAATCCAACCCTGTGGGATTTAGAGTCTTTGGATGCCTGAAGTGATGGGAAGTACTGGCAGAAGATGAAGATGCCAAGTCCCAAAATGGTTTACTACCAGCCCCAAATAAATTGGCTTTTTGCTGGGATTGGGGAAGAAGCACATCCCAGGAATGCTAAAGCAGCTCCAGGCAGGTAGATCCAAGGACTGCACAGGTATGGAAAAGGAGGTGTGGGATTGTTCCAGAGGGAGCAATTCCATCCTCCACAGCCCTGACAGTATCACTCCCACACCCTGCACAGCATCATTCACAACACAGGCTCCAGCACAGCCTGGTTGAGGGTAATAGGAACAGCATCCAACCTTGGAAATGGCAATTCCAGGACTTCCCTGGAAGCAGCACATGGCAAAAGGGAAAAGAAGGGATTTCCTTCACTGTGGAGCCAGGAGGGTGCAGGAGCTGTCACTGCCACCTTAAACTGGGAGCAAAGTCCTCCAGGAGATGGAGGAGCAGCCAAGGCTCCTGTAAATCCAGAGGGAAATCTCCATCTCTTTCCATATCCCTTGGGAGACACCTCCTCCATGGGAATGTGGAGCCTTTTCCCAAACTGAGCCACTGAGAGCCTGAGCAACTGGGCTAAGACACTGAGGAGCTCCTCCACAGCTCCTCTCCAGGCTCTCCCACAGCACACAAATCCCTGGGAAGAGGCAGGTTGGAGCCTGGAATGCCATGGCACGGGGAGGAGTTGCCTCATTCCCCTTCTCTTGCAGATGAGAGCACCAGTGGCTCGTGCCCAGCGCTGGCCTGGGATAAAAGGGATTGTTGCTCCTGGAATGCTGGGAGCTCTCTTCCCAGAAAGGCAGGGAAGGATGGCTGCACCCCCCTGCCAGCAGGATTAGGGCAGTGCTGGGGATTAACAGCTCAGAGTACAGCTCAGAGCAAGGCTGAGCTGGCTAGGGAGGCACATCCCAGGAGAGATCCCATTATCCCAGAGGAATACACTGGGATAAGGACTGGGGGTGGATCTCTCCCTGAGTTCCTTACTTGGACAACTTCTGTTGGGAGTCCAACACATGTGCTGTGCTGCAGGAATCAGGGATAACTAGGGTCCTCATCCTACTGCTGCACCCCCAGACCTGGGGTGGGACCTCCAGAATTTTCCAGAGCCTGAATCCCATCAGGGGAATGGATCCCACCAGGAGAACCAGCCTGAATCCCACGAGGGGAATCAGCCCCAAATCCCACTAGGGGAATGAATCCCACCAGGGGAATGAATCCCACCAGAACCAGCCTGAATCCCTCCAGGAATTAATCCCCCTAAGGAAATTAATCCCCCCAGAAGAACCAGCCTGAATCCCACCAGGGAATGAATCCCACCCAGAGGAACCAGCCCCAAATCCCACTAGGAGAATGAATCCCACCACGGGAATGAATCCTACCATGGGAACTAGCCTGAATCCCTCCAGGAATGAATCCCCCTAAGGAAATTAATCCCCCCAGAAGAACCAGCCTGAATCTCTCCAGGAATGACTCCCACCCAGGGGAACCAGCCCCAAATCCCACTAGGGGAATTAATTCCTCCAGCAGAACCAGCTCAAATCCCTCCAAGAGAATGGATCCCACCATGGGAACCAGCCTGAATTCCAACACAGGCAATTAAACCCTCCAAGGCAATGGATCCCCCCAGGAAATCCATCCCAGATCCCTCTCCACCCACCATGGAGCAGCACAGGATGGTGCAGAACACCCATCCCCAGCTCCCAGCAGCACCCCCTGAGCCTGGCATGGCACAGCCTCCCAGAGCCCCCCAAAATCAGCCACACATCCCCCCAAACTGAGGCAACTCCACACTGACCATGACCCAGCACCCACTGGCCCTGGGTGAGGGATCCCCAGACCTGACACCCCCAGAACTGACACCCTCATTCCCGAGGACTCCCACAGCATCCTGGGCACCCCCAGCAGATAAATCCACCCCAGGGAACCTCGGCAGGGTCGCCCCCATCCTCGGGGACCCCCAGAACAGACA